AGATTATCTTTAATCCTATTATTCAGATTATTGAAGACATGGAATCAACCCAAATGTTCATCAATGGATGAATAAAGAAAATGCGGTGCATATAAGAGGAGACAGAAAGGGTTACAGTTAGGCAGGTAGATAAAGAGCTGGCCATAGCTCTCAGAGAACAAAATGTGAAAAATTGTTCGAGGTTGTGTCTTGGAAAACCCACTAATCACTCTCAAGGAGCTCATTTCTGAGAAGTAGATGGATGTTAGCAAAAGTACCAGCTGAGCTCTAAAATCTTCTAGCTGCAAAATTATTTGGCTCTAAGACTGCTTGTTTAAAAAAAAAAAAAAAAAAGGTTAGCTGACGAGAGGCCCTAACCCAATGATTGGCTATTAATCTTGTTGATGTCTTACTTTCAGGATTGACCACTTAGCCAATCAAAAGAAGTCCCCAATTACCAAGATAAAACTGTGCCCCAAAGTGAGCCCGATGGAACCCTCCTCTAGGAGCCCCTTTGTTGCTGAGAATATATTTTTGCCTTTTCCTTCATCAGTAAATATGCTTCTCCTCACTCCTCCCTATCTGTGTCTTTCATTCTTTCTTGGCATGGGACAAAAATCTGGTCAGAATCCAGTCAAGTACTGACAGAATTCCTGCATCACAGATACATAATGAAACATTCAACCACATAAAGGATGAAACATGGACTCCTGGAGGACGTTATGTGAAGTGAAATAAGCCAGGCACAGAAGGACACACACTATATGTTGTAACTCTTAAGTGGAATCCAAAGTTGTTGATCTTATGCAGTGAAGAGAATATTGGCTACCAGAGGCTGGGAACGGAAGGGAGGTAGGGAGTCTGGTCAACAAGTACAAAGTTATAGGTAGAAAGAGGAATGAATTCTGTTAATATGCTGCACACTAGGTTGACTATAGTTAACAGTAATATATTGTGTTTTCTGAATAGTTATAAAAGGAGATTTTTTAACATTATCACCACAAAGACATGATAAATGTTTGAAGTAATGGAAATGCTAATTAACCTACTTTGATCTTTACACAATGTGTGTGTATGTGTGTATGTGTATAAACATCCCATGGTAACCTACAGGTATGTAGAATTATGCCTCCATTAAAAACAAAACTAAAACAATCAGGGGCAGTTCCACGTAACAGTGAATGATACAAAAAGGAAATTAGGAAAACAATGCCCTGGGGCCAGCGCTATGGCACTGTGGCATAGCGCTGGTAAAGCCTCTGCCTGCAGTGCCGTCATCCCATATGGGTGCTGGTTCGAGCCTGGCTGCTCCACTTCTGATCCAGCTCTCTGCTGTGGCCTGGGAAAGCAGTGGAAGATGGCCCAAGTCCTTGGGTCCCTGCACCCATGTGGGAGACGCAGAGGAAGCTCCTGGCTTCAGATTGGCCCAGCTCCAGCCGTTGCAGCCATTTGGGGAGTGAACCAGCAGATGGAAGACCTCTCTTCCTCTGTCTCTATTACTCCGCCTTTCAAATAAATAAATAAATACATAAATAAATAAATCTTTAAAAAAAGAAAACAATGCCATTTACAATAGCAACAAAAACATTAACTGCTTAGGTGTAAACAATTGAATACTCATATACTGAAAACTATAGATACTGAGAGAAGAAAGTGGAAAAAACAGATAGAAATCTTGTGTTCACGAAATGGAAAAAAATTAATATTGAAAATTTCTATACTACCCAAAGCAGTCTAGTGAGTCAATGCAATTCTTATCAAAATTCCACTGTTTTAAAGAAATCAAAAACAAATGATCTTAAATTTGAATGGAACCATGGATGACCTCAAATAGCCAAAACAATCAATGGAATAGAACAAAGCTGGAGCATCATGCTAATTTCAAAAGATAGTATAAAGCCACTGAAGTCAAAACAGCATGCAGCTGGCATTAAAATAGACATATCAGCTAAGGAAGCAGATATAGGAAACTTAGGAATGACTCATCTATTTACGGTCAACTGATTGTTTTTCCAAAGATGCCAAGAATTATATTAGGAAAAACAAACTTTCTTCAATAGTGTTGGGTAAGCCGTATATCCACATGCAGAAGAACAAAACTAAATCTTTATTTTGCACTAGATATAAACTCACAATGGACTAAAAGCTTAAATATATAAGACCTTATACCATAAAACTATTAGAGAAAAACATAGGGAGCAGGCTATTTGATATTGTTTTAGGCAATAAGTTTGTGGATAGGATCTTAGTGTTATGGGCTGGGTTTATGGCCTAAATTAGTTTTCCAGGTTCTTGCCTTTTACTTAGAATTCTAAATACAGGCCCAAACACGGCATGCAGTGTGATAAATCTTATTTTCAAAGTGAGAAAAATACACAGGCCCTTTAGGGCTTTGTTTAGGGAAAAGGGGCCAAAGAAAGGGAATTATCATACCCCTCTCTGCTCATCTGGAGTCCTCATGGAGGAGAGTGAATGTCCCGTCTTCCTAGCTTTTTATGCACTTAGAAAAACAGAAGTGTTTACGTACATGGTACCACCCCATGTCACAGGTAAGAGGAGGTACTTCCTGGGGAGGAGTCTTCTGATTGACAGGTAGATGAACATGACAACACAAAGTGAAGAAGTTGCGCTTCCAGCTCGTGAACTTAAAATTTTCTATCTAATGTTTACCACATCACTAGAAGCACAGACAAGAAAGCAAAAATTAAGAAACAATTAGTAAACAATTAAAGTGAAGTGATATCCACAATTGGGAGAAAATATTTTCAAACTCTATACAGGGGATAAAGATCCAAATATATAAGGAATTCAAACAACTCAGAGGAAACAAGTTATCTAATTATAAAAGGGCAAAGGACCTGACCAGACTTTTCTCTATAGAAGACATAGAAATGGCAAACAGGTACATAAAAAAGGGGTCCACATCACTAATCATTATTGAATCACAGCTGTTGCATTTTTCATTTAGCAGAGGGCTAAGCAGAGAAATGGGAGAGGGAATGGGGAAGCAGGATGGAAAGTGGAAGAATCCAAGCAAAAACACAATTTCTAAACACCAGCTTTAGCCTGATGCAGCAAGAAACTGTAGAACGTAAACTGAAAGCATGTCCTTGCAAACATTTTTTAAAAATAAGAAAGGAAAGAGGAAGGAGGAGGGAGAGCAGGGTGGGGTGGGCAGTTTCATTATGCTCTTTAAACTGTATATATGAAATACATGAAATGTGTTCCCTTTATGTACATTTTAAAAATCACAGCTCTTAGAATGGAGTTTATGAAAAAGGTAAAAGATAAGTTTTAGAGAGGATGTAGAGAAAAGAGAACTCATATCTTTGGTGGGAATGTTCATTAGAAGAGCCATCATGGATAATGTATGGCGGTTCCACACAAAGTAAAAATAGAACTACCCTAGGCTCATTAATGGTTGGTACAGGAGCAAATACAGAGGGGTATAGTTTGCTGAACCAGCACTTAATTTTCGGAGCTAAAACAGATCTACCAAGATCCTGGTGACTGGGTGAGCCACTCAGATGTCCTGGCTTCTGGAGTCACCTAACGAACCAGTGTGCTTTTTGGCTTTTTTTTCTTTCCTGCTCATTTACTGGTGCTGCCCTATAACAATTTAAGAAGTATTTTAAGTTAGGAATCTGTGTGTTTGTTCTTCCTTCCACTGCCTTTAAATCTCACCCTAAAAGATTATATTCAACCTCTATGAAACGGGAACCAATTCCGAGTTATTGATCCTCATGGTACCTCATTCAAGCAGGCAGAAGGATCTGTAGAAGTCTGGCTTTATAAGTAAACAAGGGACAAACAAAAAATGAAAACAAATATGCCTTATGCCTTAGCATAAATGAAAACAAACATCCCCATGCCTTAGCCAAGCCACTCCTTTCTGCTCATGCACTCTTTCCCTGTTGACACTCCAGATCCCTGTGTTTATTCCCGCTGATCTCACCTGCGCTTATCCAAGTGCCATCAGTCTTTAAATACCCAGGTCAAACGGTAGCACTTCCATAAAGCTTTCTGCAATTCCCCAGAGTTGTGGTTTTAAACAGGTCTACAAATTCTTTGATACTAGTACTCTCAACAGAAGGTGAAGTCTCATTCATTTCAACTATGAGCTAGCTTTAGTGAATTAATTTTAATGAACAGATTGTGACAGAAGTGACTTTTAAGAAAGGCTAGATTAGAAAAGGTCACCGGCTTCCACCTGGCACTGTCTCTGCAGACACAGGCAAGCTGGAGAGACCAGGGAGATGGTTCACAAGAAGACAGAGTCGGTGTGCCTAGAGAGCCGAAGTTGTGCCGGCCTACCAGCCCCTCGAGTCTAGTCAGCTGGCTGCCAGGCATGCAAACAAACAAGCCTGCCGATGACTACAGCCCTTGGACTTCCAGTTGTGCGGCTGAGCTTCCAGACTTTAATAGGCAGAGGCAAACTGTCCTAACTCCTGGAACACAGAATACTAGCGGCTAATAAGCTCCACTAAGTCTTGGGATAACCTGTTACACAGCCATAACTGAAAAATCTCACTTTTCTGGATCATTATATCTCTGCCTGTGAAGCGCTTTGAGTTTTTTACTATTGTTATTACAAATTTGTTCTATCTCCCAGCCTACACTGCTCAGCCCTTGATGGCAGAACACACAGACTATGGATTTTTCGTGTCTTCAATAATGATTTTCTCTAAAATGTGCTCAAAATCTTAGTGACTTTGTAACTTCCAATGTAGACAAAAAGCACCCTATTAAGACACTGTTCTGTTTTTGTCTGGTTCCAAATTCCTATCTATAATTGTCATGTGTACTCATCTACTTTAATTAAATTATGGCCTTGTAGTACATTGAGGCCAACGATAACAAGAGGAAATATTGAGAGGAACTAAATGTAACAGAATGCTTATAACATTTAAAATATATAATTTTTAAGCCATATATAAATTTTCTGATATATAAATTTTCTGATACCATGACAGGCCTATATGAATATTAAGTATTATTACTTCATGTTACCACATTTTAAGATGATTCTAGAAAAAAAGTGGACGAGATAATTCAGCTGGTTAACAGTCATTACCTTTTAAAAACAGACTCTTGCCCGTCCTGGCCACGCTGCGGCACCTGTTGTGCATGGGTTCCTGGTGCCGGCCCCAGCTCTGCAGGCTGCAGGACGCTGGGCAGCAGTCCAGCGCCGCCGGTCAGCGAGCACCAGGACCACGGAGATGTCAGAGATCGGGTTCTGAGGAAGCCGCTCAAGCACACGGACTTCTTCAACGTCCGGGACCCGTTCTCCGTGAAAAGCCTTTTCGACTTCCCACTTGCACCTGAGACACAAAGCCGGCTGTCGGCACAGGTTCATGGAGCCCTGCCTCTTTGGGAGCTGCCTGGCCTGAGACATCATCCACTTGGAGCAGACGGCCTCGCACCTGCAGCTGGCCCTGGATTTCACCGCCTGCGTGGCCGCCGGCGAGGGCATCATCCTGTTTGTGAGCCAAGCCGGTAGTTCTCGCACTTGGTCGAGAACGCAGCGCGAGCCTGCAGCAAGTTCACCCACACCTGCTACTTCAAGGGCGGCCTGCAGTCCATCGCCGACCTCATGGTCTTCCTGCACTCACTCAACAACGTCTTTGAGCCCCACGTGGCTGTGAGAGACGCAGCCAAAAAGAACATCCTAGCAGTGGGTATCGTGGACACCACCTGCAACCCCTCCCGGTTCCCAGCAACAACTACTCGTCCCCGGCGGTCCACCTCTTCTGCAGGCTCTTCCGAGTCACCATCAGCGCGCTGAGGAGAAGCGGCAGCAGGTCGAGGCACTCAGACTGTCATCTGCATCATCTCCATGGACACGACAGGCTGCAGGAGAGACCCAGAGCCTCAGTCTTCGATGGCTGGGAAACACAGGTCTCCCAGGAGTCTGAGCAGCCATCGCTGCCGCCTTCACGTGGCCCTGTGCAGGAAAGCTCCAAGACCACCAGGGTTTTTCTTTGTGCTAATCTCCCTCAGCCGCACCCTGGGGCGGTAGCCTGGGTGTGAAGGCAGAGGAGTGAACCTCTGGCCAGCTCCCAGCTGCAGAGCAGGTGCACATCCCAGCAGAAATAAAGCTTAGATTTGGGCAGGAAAAAAAAAATTAAAGACTCTTCCTTAAATGTCAGCATTTCTAGGGAGCCCAAGTGTCTAAGACATTTGGAAAGAAATGAGGCTTTTCATCTGGGTGGTCCTGCCTTGGATATTAATCTGTTGAATAGGCAGTTTTTTAGGCCAAGTATGAATATCTTTGCTGGTGCCAGTGACAGGTATTTCAGCCTAGCCACAGAATTCCACTGCACTCTAGTTCTGAGAGTGAAATGACAAATCCTATTATTAAGCAAGAAAATTATTTTTTAATTTGACCTAAATGGGAAACTTCCTTCCATTTCTCTGGCTATACAGGCATGCTACCTAGAATTGCATCCCATATTTTGGCTACCTTGTTACCTTGAACTTTTTCTTAGTCTACATCTTTGTTTTCCCCAGATCCTCTATGAACTATCTCTATGAACATCCCCGTATACAAGCACAATCCTAGGTCCAGTTCCTTACCGAGGGAGGAATCCATCAGCCCTGCCTAACGACTGGAGCCCTGTTTTATTGCTCTGCTCATGCAGATTCACAGCCAATAAGATCCAGGAGTTCACTGCGCTTTGAACCTATTCTATAAAGCCAAAGTTTTGTTTACATTTCCCACCTTTGTTATCACATCTGTTGCAAAAACTGCAAGCTACAGCTGATGACCAGATTCTAGTTTTTTTTTTTTTTTTGGACAGGCAGAGTGGACAGTGAGAGAGAGAGAGACAGAGAGGAAGGTCTTCCTTTTGCCGTTGGTTCACCCTCCAATGGCTGCCGCAGCTGGCATGCTGTGGCTGGTACACAGCGCTGATCCGAAGGCAGGAGCCAGGTGCTTCTCCTGGTCTCCCATGGGGTGCAGGGCCCAAGCACTTGGGCCATCCTGTACTGCACTCCCGGGCCACAGCAGAAAGCTGGACTGGAAGAAGGGCAACCGGGACAGAATCCGGCGCCCCGACCAGGACTAGACCCTGGGGTGCCAGCACCGCTAGACGGAGGATTAGCCTATTGAGCTGCGGCGCCGGCCCAGGTTCTAGTTTAATAGTTTGTGCAAATAGATTTTCATTTAGATACTATGTTGTGGACAATTTGGGCATGTTGGATTGTATTTGATCCAATTTGAAAGAATTCATTAAAGGTTTGGATTAGGTTATGTGTAATGGTATGCGATCCAGTTTAGTTCAGAGAGCTACATGGAGACTTTTTATACAATTATTCAGGCAGTTCTCTTCCATCCTTCCTTGTTCTGAGGATTCTTTTGACCTGTGTCACATACGTGACATAAAATTTTCAGAATGGCTCACACTCCAGATTAGGCAGATTTAGTACTATGAGGCTAAACGTCAATGGAACATCCGTGCCTGGAAGTCTTAGAATAAAAAGAAATAAATGCCTTTTAAAGGGAGGAAATGCCTTTCCTTCAAAGAGCAAGCACTCTGTGTCCTTCATACATTTTTGCTTTTTTGGTTAAATGCTCCTAAAGGAAATGGTGATACCTTTCATGTTGTTCAGAGGGCAACATTGGTACTTGCACTGCCAGCATCAATGGAAAGACTGAATCCTCCAGGGACACGATGAAAAGCAGACCCGTGGCAAGTGAATGCGAGAGCTTCAGAGCGTCACTCTTTGGGAAGTCGTGATGGAGGGAAGCATCACAGAGCAGGGCGGAAGCCGCACTTCAGTGCCTGCAATGAACTCCTGTACACGCCCTTCTTGATGGCAGATAAAGCTTCCGTGAGTAGAGGGACTCAGGGGAGTCAGGGAACAGAAGCTTCCCTCCTCGACTGGTTCTGATGCCCCAGATCAAAAGGTGGAAGGAACCAGGACTCTTTGTGTAGCTTCCTTCCTATAGAATACGCCTTACAGTCTGCGTCTTATAAACAGAGCCTCAGGGATGTCCCAGTGGAAAGTCACGGCCCTTGGCAACAGTTCAGAATCAATACTAAGAAAGCCAAAGGGCTCTTTTGGCCATGAATTTAAGGATCTTATTCAGATTATTCTGGAAGGCTATTGTCTAAGTGCAGCAGGTTTTTTTTTTTTTTTTTTTGTTTGTTTGTTTGTTTTTACCTGCAGAGTTAGATAGTGAGAGAGAGCGAGAGAAAGGTCTTCCTTCCTCCTTCTGTTGGTACACCCCCCCCCCCCCCCGCAAGTGGCCACTACAGCCAGCACACTGCGCTGATCCGAAGCCAGGAGCCAGGTGCTTCCTCCTGGTCTCCCATGCGGGTGCAGGGCCCAAGCTCTTGGGCCATCCTCCACTGCCTTTCTGGGCCACAGCAGAGAGCTGGACTGGAAGAGGAGCAATCTGGACAGAATCCGGCGCCCCAACCAGGACTAGAACCCGGAGTGCCGGCACTGTAGGCAGAGAGTTAGCCTAGTGAGCCACAGTGCCGGCCAGAGCAGCAGTTCTTAAACATGCATATGCAGAAGACTAACTGGAATAACTTGTCCAGAGTGCCTCACTTCCAGAAATTTGGATTTGGTTGCTTTGGTTCGTGACCCACAAATATGAATTTTAAAATAAGCACCCTGGGAAATTTTGATGAGGTCTAGTGCACAGTTTGGAAAACATTGGAAAAGCAGAACTCAAATCCCTATGTCTTTAGTGGTCCATTTCCCATGATTTAGGTAAACATTTTAGGAAAAGAGAATTTTTGAATGCGGATTATGGAGAACATAGCTCATAGACTACCACAAGAAGACCATCTATCCATCAGTTCTTTTCTGACTTACAATGAGTGTGTGAGTGAGGCTAATAGCTGGAACATTTCATACGTTTTCTGGTGCTGATGCATCTTACTGAGCAGCTTTCCATCAGCAGATATAGAGAGGCCCAAATTATGAGTCAGAAGACTTAGAGTCAGTTTCTTTAAGTATGTAGTATGTGAGAAATCGAGCAAACCATTCCACTTATCTAAGTCTGTTTACTCATGTGTTGTTAGAAGGTTGGGGCAGATCATTTTGAGGTTCCTTTAAAACCTGGTGATGTGTGTATCTTCTTCTTATGAAAATTTTTATAAGTACCTAAAAGTGTAACGTTTAAGGGGCTGGCACTGTGATGTGGCAGGTAAAGCTACTGCCTGCAATGCCAACATCTCGTATGGTGACCCAGCTTCCTGCTATCACTCCTAGGAAAGCAGTGGTGAATGGCCCAAGTCCCTGGACCCCTGTACCCATATTGGAGATCTGGAGGAAGCTCCTGGCTTTTGGCTTTGGCCTGGCCCAGCCCAACTATTGCTGCCATTTGGCAAGCAAACCAGCAGATGGAAGATCTCTCTCTCTCTCCCTCTTTCTCTCAGTTTGACTCTGACTCTTTATAACTCTGCCTTTCGAATAAATAAACTTTAAAAAGAGTAATGGTTTTGATATTTGATATCGAAATGGCATATTGCCATGTCATGGTTGTCACTGCTATCATTTCCTCCTCGGAGAAGCAATTATACCGTGCATGTGAGGTCATGAAAACGATCTCACAGCTGCTAAGACAGCAAAGTATTCATTTGGTTTAGATTTGGAAAGACTTCTTCATGGCCTGATATTTTCTTTCCTTATTCTCATTTTACATGTATTTTTTCTTCTCTAGTATTGTTTGTCATTATCCTATATATAGCAGATAGCATAATAGAACACAGTTGTTGGTGATGTGGACCCTTTGGCTATATGGATCAGGTACAAATCCCTGTTTCTAAAGCTTACTGGTCATTTAATCTTGGGAAAATGGTTTAACCACTCCAAGTTCCATAACCTCCCATATAACGTGGGTATAATCATAATGCTAACTACCTAATACAGTTATTGTAGGGAATAAATGAGTCAATGCTTGTGAAGAATTTAATACAATGTTTGACATATAGCAAGAGCTCAACAAATACTACTTTTTAGTATATGCCAAAAGTCCTGAGCTATGCCACAATAGGATCACCAGCAACCTTTTCAATAAATTCCAGTGTCAAAGCTCCACCTAGGGCTAATTAAATAAGAATTTGTGAGGTTGGGGTGTATTTTGAAAGTACTGCTGGTGATTCTATGTATTGTAGTAGTAGAGAGCATCTGGCATTTGCCACATGGCATTTATGAGTATTGATCAGGGGGGATAGGATGTTTTTTGCCTCACATGTAAATATGACTATTAGGTATGGTCAATACAGGTGATATAGATTTCCCCAAAGATGTAGGAGATCAGCCTTTAGTAATCACTATAGTGTTTATTCTTAACCAGTCATTGGCTGGTGTCCCAGTGCCAAAGCCATAATGGGGTAGCAAGAAAACAGAACACATGTTGGGGAGCCTATTTTAACTTGGAGAGTCTAATAGATCATTCTGAATTCTGCTATCTCTGGTTTTGAGGATTTGTTTCACAACCTTTCTGATTCAATTGCTGTTAGCAAAAACCAGCACAACAAGAAAATCTGATAAAAGCTGTGTGAAAAATATAAGGAAGGTGGCATTTTCCTGAGGGTGAGAGAAGATGGGTTTGGGGCTCTTGGGGGTTCATATGGGTTTTCACTGATTGTTGGTCCCCTGATCCAACTCTGAGCACAGAACAGGCTCAGCAATGTTGATTACATTTTAGGGGATTTCCCCTGAGTGTCCTGAGAGGCCACTTTGACGGTTGTAGCTTTGAGGGAAACTCTTTCTGGACTCTGCCCTTTACTGCTGTGATCCTAACTGGTGCTTAATCTTGGTGGTGTCTGAAAAGATAAGGCAAATGCCAGACTTTCCCAGAACCTTTCCAAGACTTGTGGCAGTGCTTTGCTAGGGTTTACCATAGAGTCTATTCCTAAAGCTCTGTCATGAATTCAAAGATTTGTGATTACAG